AACGGCCGTCGACAACGACTAGCAGCTAACGGCTAACAGGTCACGGCTAACGATGACGACTAGCAGCTAACGACGACGACTAACAGCTAACGGCTAGCAGCTAACGGTTAACATCTGTTAACATCCAACTGTTAACCCTTTTTTTGTGGTGCCTGAGAGGAGGTTCGACCAAGTCTGGTCGACCTCGTGTGAACCCTCTCACTGTTTCACTACCTCGACGGCGGCTTCGGACGTTACCCGCGCTCTCATCGGCGCCTGGGTGGCGCGCTTCTGGACCCCGTCTCGCCTCGACAGTTTCGGACGTCGCCCATGCCTTCATCGGCCCGTGGGTGGCACGCTTCGTGACCCTGCCTGGCCTCTCCTCTTACCGCGGCTCACGGTTCGGCTCACGGTTCGGCTCACGGTTCGTCTCGACGGCGGCTTCGGACGGCGCCCCGTCTGGCCTCTCCCCTGTCCACAGCTCCTTCCTCCCGGGGATGCTGCTCCTGCCCCCCGGGGACACGGCTTCTTCCTCCCGGGGATACTGCTCCTGCCTCCCGGGGATACCGCTCCTTCCTCCCGAAGACTTCGTGCCCGCCGCCGCTGTGCCTTCGCCTGCGGCCGGGCAGCGCTCCTTCCTGCTGGGGACCACCGGGATATTCATGCCCGTCCCCACGTCGCAGCACTGCGACCCAGCTTTCTACGGTGGTGGATGTTGTTTTCATTCGCCTCGACGCCTACCGCGGGCCCCTGCGGCCCCCTTACGACGGCCCCCTTACAACGGCCCGTTCCTTGGCCCGCCACCGGTGGGGATGCCCTCGCCCTTGTTGGGGCCCCTGCCCGCTCCTGCGGCCCCCTTCCGACGGCCTGTTCCATGGCCCGGCCCTCGCCTGCGCCCCCACCCTCCTCGGCCCCTGTGGTGCTTCCTCCCGGAGGCGAGGATTGTGTCCATGGTTGAATTCTGGGGGGGCTTGTGTGGTGATCACTGATTGACATAATTCACTCATGGAACTACGGGTTGGGGGTATTGTTCCGCACGGACAGTTATGTTGACTGTACCTACTGCCTTCTTTTCTTCTTCCCTTCTCTTCCCGGGCTTCAAGCCGACAACACGTGTGTTTCTGATGCTCATTAAAGCTAACTTTGTACCTTCGATGCACCGCCTCCGACTCCCGTCTCTCGGCACTACAGTATTGAAGTCAATGGAGAGAGAAAACTTATCTTTCTATCCCGTTTGAATTAATTCAAATTCATTCAAATGCATTTAAATAGCCCATTAATTTAATTATCTATATGGCGCTGGTTTCACTCAGAGGTCAAGGAATAGACGATAGGGTTAGAAATTAGGAGCTGATTCTTGGACTATTCGACTGCAGCCCTTGTTTGGCAAGACAGTAGTGACGGCCATCTTGGTGACGTGTGTTGTTGTGCGAGACCAGAGATGTAGTTCATTGAGCGGTTTCACACAAAAAAAGTATTACTTCACAGTATTACGGCAAAAAAAAAAAATTGTATTGAAAAATTATCTTTTAAATTGACAAAAATGTGTAATTCGTGGCACAATTCAAACGGGATCAAAACGTTTCTCTCGCCATTAACTTCAATACATAATTTTTCCGAAATAAGGTCCCATGGAGGTCCACCAGAAAGGGAGGGACTTCGCCTCTCTATATGATTGGACAGCCAGTAACATAAACAAGTAAGTTGCAGAGATAAGCTTTATTAACATCCACTGATATGTTGCTTGTCAGGGTGTTGTTTCCACTCTTTAAGCCCCATTTCCCCCCAGCCTTATTACAGAATGCTACATTTGCTTTGTCTGCTTGTCTCCCATCAGGGTATTTTGGAGGAGGACATATTGCGGGCCCCCCTCCGCTACCTAGCGTTCTCCATTTACAGTAATTGCCCTGCTTAGTTTTATTACTGCATCTGTGAATGTGACAGCTCAATCAGTGGATTGCCCTTTCATGAGCACAGCACCCAAACAGCGCTTTGTGTCCGTCTGTCCCCATCACTGCTTTATATGCATGCACACCTGCGGGCAATTTCCACCTCAAACTGCCTCCAAGGGTATTTTAAAACCACAGCTTTTCCACTGTGCTGAAGGAATCAATGTCAACAAACAATAGTGAATAAAAGTGCCATTGCCTTTCTAGTAGATTAAAAAGGAAACTGCTTGCCGAGATGAGATGGTATTTCAAACCAAGCAGGGGAAGAGTTTTGCATTTCCATTTAGACTGTGAAGTCAGGTGTGGTATGTGTTGCAGCATACACACATGTTGGTGCTACTGTTTTCTATGCATATCACAAGCCTCGTAACTGCAGCTTCAGGAAGATTCGCCTTGGAAAATCATGTGAAGTTGTCATGGAGACACTACGATATGCCGTCACACATATGGTATAGAAAAGCTGTTATTGCACACCATATGTGGGTCCCTTTTGTTGTCAACTGTGAGAGGAGTATTGGCTATATATAATCTATTGCTTGAGATTAAATCCTCTACTGTGAATCCACCCTCACGTCAACATAGAACTAAAATTGCAATACTCTATATCAGGGGTGTCAAACTCAAGGCCCGGGGGCCGAATCCGGCCCTCGACTTCATTTTATGTGGCCCGCAAGAGCTTGCAAAGAATGTAATATGTTTATATGGTTACGTGCTACTTTACAGTATATCTATATATGTTCATTTTAATTAATTTCTTATTTTATAGTTATTTATCATTTTTTTTTATCTTTGATTTATCCTTAATTTTATTAATCTGTGTGAATCTGTGCTGTCCTGTTTTTCAATCTTACCCTGTTGCTGTTAAACTACTGAATTCCCCCACAGGGATTAATAAAGGTCCATTTTATCTTATCTTATCTTACAGAAGCATGTTGCCCTTAAACTATATGTCCCACAATGCATCTCATTTTGTGACATGCGCACTAAAGAGACTTGCAATTATTTGCCCTAGACTTCTGCTTTCAGACGTAGTTAATTATGAAGTTATTACCGTATCCAATAAAAATCCAATGCAGAGGCAATAATATAATATAATACATTATTTCATATATATTATGTATTTTATATAATTACAACCGGCCCTTTGAGTGCAAACATAATGCTAATGTGGCCCATGATGAAATTGAGTTTGACACCCCTGCTCTATATGAACTGTTTACTATTGTTTGCAACACTCTTTCAAAAGCTGTTCTTCAGTGTACAACCTTGCTATTCAAAAAGTTTCTATTTACTATCTTTCTTTGGAAAATCCAACACGAGATAATTATTTAGAAGTTTGTATCTGTCTTATTTAAATGGTGCTGTATGACACCCATTGTAGGCAAGTCAACTACTAACTTTGGCAACCTCAGAGGGAGTGGAATTCATATTAAAACATATTCTTATGTCTCTTTCTCTGCACCTACAACTTGATCTTTTGAAGAAAAATATAGTCCCTCTTTATTGGGCTTTGTCACAGAGAATTTGAATAGCTGTAAAGAACAACATTATTCTCCAATGTTATGAGACTTTCTCTTTGTGTTCTTTAACACCTGTTATTATAATGACACGTACAGTAGGCTATGTGTGGAAAAAAGCACTTTTGAGCAGGAACAGGAAATGGCTTAAACAACTGGAAATATGCCTTTATAATGAATAAAGTCTGGGGCTTTGAAGCTGGCACGAATCTGCCCAATCACTCCCACAGTGACCTGAGATCCAGGTAATGAGCAAGGTGCTGCACCAGCTCATTATGGGCAATATGTTAAGCCAATAGAAAGCATCAAAGCCAGGCCTTTAGAAGTGGTGTAAAAGCTCCTCTAATCAAGCCTTCACAGACAAGCAGAACAATGACAACACTATTCTCTCCAGATGAAATCCTCCGGCGTGCCAGTGGAGCAGGGAAGGAGAAAGTTGGCATAATGCCCTCAGTGAGCTTTTGTCTTTCTGAAAGGAGGCAACTCATGTGGTATTAACATAAGGTCTGTTACCTGAGATTGCTTTCTGACTGGTGTGAGCGGAATAGGAAATACGCCTCGGATGGACACGAGGCCTTTCTATCCCCGTGTGGGCCATTCATTGCTTTCAAGCCTTGCTTTTATTCTTCTTCTTTTTTCAGCACTCTTTTTCTCCATAAAAGGGTCTTTGATGCATTTAATCCCAGGTGCTTTAACCCTTGAAGGAGCTTCTCTGGAGGAGAACAGAGGTAAAGATCATGAACAAACCGGTGTGAGAAACTTAAAATAGCAACTTCACTTCGTCAGGAGATGTGGACTGGACTGACTTACTGTAGGTACAAAAGAGGAAGCTATTAGAAAGACAAGACATTCAGTGCATGAGCATGTGTCAGTCATTTCTTGAAAGATGTACACTGCCATTTCAAGAGAAAAGCCTACAAAAAAACATTAAAAATGGAGCAATTATTTGTTTCATTTGTACTCACTTTTACATCATAAAACGTGTGCTATTGCACACAGACAAATGTATCAGCAGACTGTCATCACATCCACATGACAGAGTTCTCATTGCCTTGCTATTAAACTACTTGAGATGCAGTGAATGGTCAATGTTTCCTAACATCAACCCCCTGTGCACTTCCTGAAAGCCTGCCAGATGTTTTATGACCAGAAAGTGGTGTGTAAAAACTCCCTCTGCTGTTACAATGCAACAGCTCTAAGACAAGGCACAATATTAAGGAATTTAATGTTAAAATTGCCTTCAATAGACCTGAATGCATGCAGGTTACTTTACATGTAGCACTAACATCCAGTGTGTGATCGGTTGTTCTTGGTAGGGATGTGTCTGACTCAAAAGTATGGTCAGTCACAGAATATAATCATCTACTTAAAATACATCATATGGTTTTGAAACAAAAAAATTAAATAAAAAATGTAACCCACCAACTAAATTATTTTTGTTGATGTTGCAAAGCATCCATAACTTTTATTTAGGCTGGTATTTCAATGTTGCATTAAAAGAATATTGATTACACAACCTAGATGGCCCAAATGTGTTTTCAGGCAAGCACACAATAATACAAAAAGAAAAAGTATTCAGTTTTTACAATAAGTTATTTTAAATAATTTGGTTTAATTTCTCCTATAATCAATATCCAAGCCCAGGGTTATTCCAGTACATTTCTTGTAGACATATTTGACAGACCTATAACATAAAGTGTTACTATTACAAATCAACACTACTTTTCTGTCTCCTCTGGGTTGAGATATCCTCTCAATGTGTTACTTCAGGAGCTTACGTTCTGCAAAAGCCAAGAATAATATACGCTTTGCACTTCATTACATTTACAGTGTGGAAAAAAATAGCCTGCATTCATAAAATGCTGCTATAAACGTTTTCTTTATTGAACAAAAGGGCAGAGAAGAGATTCCTGGACGCAGCAGGGAGCCTACTTTTACTGCAGGAAATATGGACTACTGCAGCGCGCTTCAGACGGAAACACATCGAGCAAATGCTTCTGGGATGAACAACGGAGTGAAACAAATAAATGGGAGGCTACAAAGTGGATCAATAAAGGACAACAAGTGCTGGAGTACTGGCTAGATAATAGCTCTAGCTCTCTGTCCTTGGTGCAAACAATGGTCGCTCTCCGTTATGTGTCAAAGGGCTTCACCATGGTTACTGGTGGTGATGGTGATACAGGAGCAGCCTTTTCTCTTACTAGTAATGATGTGTTTGAAAATAATAGAACTCAGACATTATATCACACATTAACTCATAAACCCAATTTTATTTATTTTGAACCTTGATGCCTCTTGTCCCCATACATTACATTCAGTATATACATTTGGCCATGAGGGACTGTACAGAGATATGTTATAGTAGTGCATACATACGTGGCACGGACATGTACACAAAGGAAACTCATACATGCCACTTTAGCACAGTAAAGTGAAACACAAGATACACACGGGGCTGATGGTTGCTCACACACACACTCACACTTCTTTATGCATGCACACAAGCACACTTTAAGACACTTCTGAGGGAGGAGAAGGGCTCTTTCAGGTTCTAATGATAGACATATGTGAAGAGTGGGTCTGCTGATTGCAGCAAATCCCCCCCCTGTCAGAACACCCTCCCCTCTGTCTCCCCTCCTTACATCCATTTCCCTTTCTCCATATAGCTAAGGCCTCTCTCGGGGCAGTGCGGCTGTCACACACAGGCTCTTTCCTTTTAGTAGAGTCATTTTCATCAGCAGCAGCAGCAGTAACTTAAGAGCCTCTACTCTCAACCTTTGTTATCTTAAACAGGGAACACAGAGGATACATCACACATAGTTTATTTCATTTGCATTTCTTCTTAGGATATCTTTTATCAAGAAAATACATAGGTCCACTTCAACAACATACCGTTCCTTAATAAAGCTGCAGAGGTTACTATCTGATGTCTGCTCACTTACTACACCAACTAAATAAACGTCTTTCTGCCGACTATTCTCTTCAACACATCAAACATTCTGCTGATAAATCTCTTCCCGGTGGACATCTTGTACCATCACATTTGTCATAAACATTTGGTGGAGGCACACACTCCAATACATTTCCCTTCAATGACAGCAGTTTAAAGTTGCATAGCACACAGCAGTGTCAATAAGTATTGACTTTGTATTTACAGTGGTCATGCTCGCTTAAGTCTGTTTCTTATTCATAGTGTCTTCACCTTGGACCAAAGCCCCCCGTCATTTTCATTGTAACTGGGATTTGCTCATTAAACCACAGAAATGTGAAACTCATAAGACTGAAAAGGGTTTCCTGTGTAGTGCTACAAACATTAGGCCCTCTGCTTAGACTGAGCTTTTTGTTGTTGTTATTAGTCAGAAGTAGTATTATTTCATCAGAGAGCAGCCCACATAACAGTCCTATGAGTTGCTTAAATATAATGTGGTTGTAAAAGAATACAAGAGGCCATTCAAATAAAACGAGTCATTGGGCTGACTTCTAGTTTCTTGATTCCAATAAGGAAAAAATACGGTTCTGACAACCTAAGACTTCAAGAAAGGGCTGTTCCCAGTTTGTACCAGCAGGATTAAAAACACTGGAACTCAAAAAGTATGCGCACACATTCTCATATGCATACATAACATTTTTCATTTCATGTTGGACGGGTTGGACACATGCATACTCATCACATTCACACATGTATGCACATCTAGTAGTAAAGGGTAGATGATTGAGCCATTTTAATGCAAAGAAGAAGCATGAAAAGTTGAAGGTAGGCATGTTTTTTTTCTGGTTCTAACAGGCTGCGCTGTGATTGGTCCGGAGGAGAATATGCGATCGTCTCTCATGTGAGGTTTGACAATCCCCTTGGTCAGGAGACACCGTGACTTGTTTCCCAAAGTCAGGCCACTGAGGCAAACGTGCGTTGAGCAGAATTTGGAACAACAAAAATGCAAAGCACCACAGGTAAAGAGGCTGGAGTAGTCCCAAAAAAACACGATCACATCGTTACAGAACAATGAGGGCCAAGGGGCCGACGGGCCATCACAAAGGATTAACACATCAGTAATAATTACCCCAGAATAAATTACAGTCACAGAACAATCGTTAAAAGCAGAACTGGAAATCAGCTGATCTAGCGGACTGATTCGACCCATGCATTATAAGGCATTAACCAAACATCTGTTACTGACATCACACAGTTTCATATTAGTGACTACTATACATACAATTGCTGATCTGAAAAATCTACTTTAGATTTTCATTAAAAAGAAATCTTGTATTTAAAAAACATATCCATAAACTGATGATGTCATTTTAAGGGAATTGGGAATGTCATAGGGAGAGCAGATCGATGTCTGAAATCCCATTGTACCTATTGATCTGCAGATGGGCGAATGAAATTGATTTTCTGAGGTAGACAATGCAGGCATATTTCATTCTCCAGATGCAAAGCCATTCTAAGGAGGGGTCGCCGGGCTAATTTGGTCCATTTGGACAGGCTCTGGTCTCTAGCCTCGGCCCATTGTACTGTGTCAGATGAGTTGACCCATCCATCATGATCTCCTGCCTGTCTCGCCACCATGGTACTTACACCGTCATTGGTGTGATACACCCCCTCGGTGATGGATAGCAGACAGCATGTACTTTGACAAGATAGAGAGATCAGCGTGCACTGCTCACAGGCCTGTTATTTCCACACAGCTGGGGACACACTATTCATACAAGGCCAGTGTATTCAATATCCAGACCGCTGTATGAGGCCCATGTGGACAATATCCCTCAACAGGCCTCATAAATGTTGCTTCCCTTACACGGCTCTTACAATCTTCAAGTCCTCTTACAAACAATTACAGAATCAACAGAGCCTAACCAAATGAGCATACACTATTCTTATGATGTGCACTCCTAAGATAAAACATTTTCTGAGAAAAGGTACACCCCAGTGACACATGTTACAATGTTGTACCTCTCTTTTTCTATGAGTGATAAGTGCTTAGGGAAATCAGCTGAAGAATCAGTGAAATGATGTTCATCAGGTGGTCAGTCTGTGATGTGATGAAGTGGGTGTCCGTCATAAATAAAATAAAATAAAATAATAAAGCCTTCTGCCTCTTTGAGTCTGTACAGCATGTGTAAGATAATATGCAGTAGGCCTTCAGAACAGGTCTGGAATCCGTCGGCTAGTGAGGTGAGTTAGAATCAGCAGTTTTGGGATGTCACTGTTCGAATTCCCATGAGCCTTCTGGGCACTGTCCAGAGGGACAGGAAGCGTGGAGCCACAGGGTTGCCCGGTGGGTACGGCAGGGGCCTGCCGGTGACCCGGAGCACTATAGTGTCCTGATGGCTACGGGGTACAGCAGGGACATGTGTTCGGCACCCTTGATGGGCAGCTTGCGGCTAGAGTAGAAATAGATGATCTCAGGCACGCTGTCAAACGGGCAGCTGTTCTGGCCCAGGATGTACTTGCTCTCCTTCGTCCGTGACAGCTTCATGTGCATGAAGCCCTGGCTGCTCCTGGGGACAGAAGAAAACAAAAGGGAGGGACAGAACATATTTATTTATTATATCAAAACAAGACGAAGAGACTGCTTTATACATTATATTTCATTAAGTTACAGATTTCATCTTCAATCCGGTATGAAAACCAATTATTTGTGCAAACCAAGGAGGAACCAGACAGCTCTGATACAGTTTGGAGAAAAATGCTAATATCAGCATCTTGTTTATATTAAAATAGCGAGAACTGCAGCTTAAAAATACCCTACGTTACGAAAAGCACTTTCCCCATAAACCAATATCAATGCCACTTATGTAAAACTTTTGACAGGACAAGTTCAATTTATTTGTTCTTACCTAAAACTTTCTCTGAGCCTAAAAAAGCCATGTTCATGTGCTTTATCATTCTAATGTACATGGCAGAACCACATGGGGGGGAGTTAATACATTATGCAATGGGCCGCACAACATGGAACGTTTGCTAGTTAGCACAAAGTAAGCTAAAGCTAATGGGAATGCCATCATTTTCCAGGTTTTCATAAACACACAATATATACATCTTTATTGTAGGTGGTGCAGAAAAAAGAAAAGTAAAGGTATCACAAAACCATTCTTTGGAACCATGAATGTCTCAACAAATAATACTCTAATCCATCATGTAGACATTTGGACATAACTTTGACGAGCTACATGGAAAGTGAGGTGATTACAGAAGTCATAAGGATACATCCTCTAGGAAACATGGGCACAAGTATGCAATCCATTTGATAGCTGATGAGATATTTCAGTCAGGACCAAAGTTGTGGCCCAACCGACCATCACTGCTGTGCCTGGAGCCATGTAGCATGGCTCAAAACCAATTTAGGGAGAGAGGTATGTCAGGAGCCCGAATATATGGGGACTCAGCAGATTGCCCTTCCTTGACAGCTCCTTCCTCATTTACTCCCAGAGTAGTCGCTCCCTACAGTACGTGACAATGTTCTGAAAGCTGGATTACCTCTGATAACTTTGGAGCTGTCATGGGAGAAGACTAAAAGCCAGGTTGCTTAAGGTGCTGGGTTTCACATGCAGAGCATAAAGAGAAAGCTAATGAACCCCCAGGATAAATCACTTAAGCTACAGCAATAAATGCACGGCAAATTAAAAGCTCCTTGTGGATTTCTCGGGGCCTTGGATCGATACATTTTACAGCTTGCCAGTAATCTCCTGCTTTAAAATAGAAAATTACTTTTTTTGGAGTTAAGTGATGCAACAGTGAGCTTTAGCAAGGATATAATTGTCCCTATATCCTGCTGTAAACATATTGTTCTGATGATCTGTCTTTACAGAAACACATTAGCAAAATAGCTTTTTCAATCAGAAGCTAATGCTTCCAGCAAGTGATGATCGCTGCAGGCTCAAATACTGTGGACTCACTCGCTGTGATTTGGCATTATAGCCAACAAAGTTTTTTTTCCACACCACTTAACAACTTATTCTACTTCATATGTGTGACTTCCTTACTCTGAAATGTAATGCCTGTTGCTGAAATGCGAAATAAATGCCAAGAAGGAGGATAATTACACTAGAAGAAAGAGAGGAGAATGAAACCCCTCCTCTAAATCTTGCTGTGACATGCAGCCAAGAAAATCAGGTAGGCATGAGAGCTGCGGACGCATTGACTCATGGGACCACTTAGTGTTATCTGCACGACACATTCTGTATGTGTCAATGACGGTGTGGAACAGGACTCTCGTGAGGAATGTGCATATGCACGATAAGTGCATACAAGGTGGTAACTAGAAGAGATAATATACATTCTACCAACAAGGATGTGGGAATATCGCTCTGACAGACAGAATATGCACGTATCTCTGTTTGGATAAGATAAGGTGCAAACACGGTGGTCAAGAGTGTTGATGAGGTCCCTCTCATGCCATGCTCCTCTCCTCCATATGTATTTGTATCTGTTCCTGATCATCATGTGGTTTCATAAATAGTGAGTACATTACAAGTGTAAATAAACACACGTATTTGTGGATGTGTCCATTATCTGGCAGCAGCAAGAACTGGGCTTTAGGCGCCTTAAACGTAAGGAAGGTCCATTCTTACTTATCTGATAATTACATGTGTAAAGCCTGCAGATGTGTTCGCTCCCTGATGCACAGAGAGACGCCGGCACAGAGATAACGCTGAAGTGGAAAACAGCTCAGAATGTACAGGGTTCAATCCAGGGACATCCATCAGGAATAAGAATACAGGCAGAGCGATAAATGGGGATCATGTCATCAGAGGAGACCAATCCTTTTCTTAATATAAGTGTGATAAATACTATTATTACAGAAAGCCAGATAAAGCTATGATCTATCTGCTCTATGAGGTTTGAGTCGTAGGTATTGTTGATAGCAGATGAAGGAGATTTCATTTGAAATGCTCACATTATTTTTCATTGGCGAGCTGAAGAGGATAGCTGCAGGCTCGCTGGGCTGTAAAACTGAAGTAAACAAAACTATAAGACTTCTCCATTACCTTCATCGCTTTTGGTCTGGAGATTTATTTGTATCATTAACAATTTAATTATGATTTGAGGAGAAGAGGACACATTTTACTCGCATCCTTCTTCCACTCTGCAAGTGGTGCCAGGAGGGATCATTTAAAAAAATTTTTTTTTTAAATCCTTCATGGAAAGTGCATCTGATGAGTCTTCACTGTTGGAGCGCTGGGACACAGGTGTTCGGTTACATAGAGCCACACTTAAAAAGGAAAACACATCAATAGCATCATTTTTAGATTCCCAACTGATTTCCAGTCGGTGCTCATGGCCGCTTATCACGTTACAGTCCTGCAGAGACCGGGTCAATGGAGCCATAATGCTGTTGATAACATAAATATGGGGTTCTTTTTGAGAAAGCAAGCCTTCGTGGTGTTATCATATCCCGGTTTGTTTGTTAATTAATCTCACTGGGGTTTATTGGGGTTCATGACTTTGACTTGAACCCTGTCGTTCTGAGAGCAGGAACAGCCTGGCAGCACTCACAGCTTATCTCCTTCAACATATTGGATTGCTCTATGAATGATGCTCTCAGCGTTATGATTCTGTGGAGAAAGTGCAAAGCCCTCCGCCAAAAGATAATGATCCTTGGCAGAAGCAATGACCTTTTTAGACATTACTGGTTATCCTGTTCGTCCATTATTTCATATGAGCACTAATTGAATGAGTCTACCTGGGAGGAGCCCAATAATTCCCAAAACACAATCTGACATCATATCCGATCTGGTTAATGGAATATATCATGATGAAAACATGGCTTTGATCGGCTAAATATGCAAAAAAACACACAACCTTAATATTGTTTTGTGTTATATGCAGTTATTTGTGTCGTCTGCTCCACATAAAGGAAATCTCTGACCCCATAAAAGCATGACATATCCTGGGAAGAGGAGTCAAATCGAAGAAGCAAATACGTTCGGGTTATTGTTCAAATGGGTATTTAGTTTCCGCTTGTCTGTGTTGTGGCATCAAACAGATTCTAAAGGATAGATGTTATTCTACCACTAACTATTTCTCTCCTCAGCCAGTGGGAGCCTGCTGTGCAGAGCTCTCTCGCGAGCAGAGGAACAGGATGACACTGTGCTCTGACAGACTTGTAAAGGGTTTAATATGTTTCAAATACCTAAAAGGGTTTCTCTCAGTGGAGACAGAAGAAAAAGAGCAAAAAGGAGTGGAGGGGCAGAGGGAGAGGGAACAGAAGAAAAGGGTTAGAAGGGCAAAAATGCTTTCCTTCAGGCCAGAGGACTCTGGGGGCTGCAGTTCTCTGCGACGGCTGTCTTTATCAATAATGCAATACACATACGTGCCACCTCATGGCCTTATACATTTTTCAGCAACCTCAGACATGGAGGATCTTCACCTTGGGTTTCTACTCATTTGCAGTGGCAACCTGGGAGACGGGCTTGTGTGAGAAAGCTGAAGTCAGAGTAACCTTTGCCTGCAGAAAGGTGGCACCTGTCATTCCCACAAATTGGCCCGCTGTTATCCAGGCTGGATCTGATTGATGCCAAAGGCACACGATATGACATTCTGTGACTGCTGGGAGTTGACTTACACAAATATACACGTGAGTCTAGCACAAAGCTTCAAGAAACATTCTATATTTAGGGTTTTGCGTACTTCTGCCTTTTGTGCTGATCAACGTTTCCAAAACTATCAAACTAGTGTTTGCCAGCAGATCACAGCTGAATACAATTATGGCCTCAAACAGCTGTGGGTAAGGAACAGAAACATTAACACAAGCTAGGGTGTCAATAAGGTGTCATCCAACGCCTTGCTCTTGGTTTTTGAAAAGAGAAGCCGGCAATTGGTAAGTAAGTACATTTGATGAATTAATGCTCATGGAGAATATGGTGAATAAACATGTAACTAAATAGTCCATTGGTAAAACCAGGTATAAAACTGTGGGTGAATTAGTGTGGCGACATGAATGTTATTAAGGCCATTTCTAAAATAGAAGGTTAAAACATTACCACACACTAAACCTACTCATCTCATTGTACCTATCTAATGACAATAAAGGATTATATTCTATTCTATCAAGTGAAACTTTTATTTGAGATAATACCTTGCTCTTATTACTTTCTGTGCCTTCTGGACTGTCTCCCTCAAAAACGTTTCATTTAATTAATCTAGCAATTCATTAGGATAGGTAAAGCCCCGAGCGCTGGGTAATTTACTTCCTCACATAATGGAGGGACGGGGTGGATCATTTCTCTCTAGCTATACAAAAAAAGAATGTCTTCATAAGTTCATGCTGCAGAATTGAACAGTTGCTTATTGGAGCTGCTTTTATCACATTCACTCCTTGTCAGGGACGTGCACAGGTACGGGCTAATGTTGCCTGGGCAACGGCCCGTTTGGCCTTCTTGGCTGACTTGTGAGAGTTTATTTTTATTTTTTCTGTTGTGGCCGAATCAACATGATAAGCCCACAATTAGTATTGTAGCGTCTTGCTGCGGGAAACACACTTTGTCAGCGCTGTCAT